CTCATTTACACCTTTGTTTCTAAATGCCTGGATTATCTGTGAGCACTAAGAACACCACTGAGCATTCTCTCCTTTTTAAATTATGCAAAATTCTTCTGCAGTTTTAGGTCAGAAAGCAGCAGAGCTATCAACAAGCATTTAATGAGCACTGAAACACTGCAGCATTTGCAAGACCATCTGAGTTCCACAGAGACACCAGAGCCAGCCAACTCCACCCTTCTCGACCACCACCACAGTGACAGGCAGCTCTAGCCACTTCTCAGGGAGGTGAATTTCCTTTTACTTTTTTTTTTTTTCCTTAGCGGCTTAATTCAGCTGCTCTCAACTCCAACCAGAAGTGACAAAGCCACTCCAAGCAGCTCCTGCCACTTGTCTGATCAATGAGGCTGAACAATTAAACACTGCAGGAACAGCTGCCAGCACAGGCAGCTTTTAACACTCAGCACCTTGCTGGCTGCTACTCTGATGTGCTCCACTGGATTTACCACAGCTCCACCAGGGCTCAGAATGACCCACACCCGATGGGAGGAATGGCAGCACCACAGTTCAACTGCCACTTCAGACAGCTCTTGCTGGCAAACGCTGATACTGGTCATTATCACCACTCCCAGGGCATTCCTAGGGCCCCTGCTTCACCAAGTCATGGAAACAGATCAGAAACTTGAATCTCCACATTATTTCCACTGCCTCAGCATCTCTGGTGAACTTGGATCAGCTGCAAACTAACATACATGGCAAACCAGCACATTCTTAGTATCATCAGGGCTAAGAGAATAACCAGCATCTTCAAACCTTGCTGCTCTCATCTCTTGTTAGGTGTCTTTAGGAGCATGGATCTCACAGACATAATAAGTAGTTAAAATTAGTCCCATTAAACCAGCTCTCTCAAACCTTCAAATAAATCCAAGCTCAACACAGTGGCTAATATTTCTAAAACAAAATACTAAATTCCACAAATGCCAGAAAAGTTCAACAGTGCCTTCTCGACCACCACACAAAGCAAGTGTTATTGTAAAGCACCAGGAAGATTTTGCTGGAGGTAATGATTTTTATCTCTCACCTTTGAGACTGCTCAGAATCTTCTCAATACTGAAGCAGTGGAAAGCACAATTTCATGCTTCAGAAGTACAGGAATACCCGGAGTGGACAAAGGTTGTAAACTGGACTGACGAAGGCGTCGCCTCCACAGATCCGCAGCACAGGAGATGCAAACCCACAGCACTGCCTGGCACTGCTCTCCCCTCCCAACCCACTGCCAAATCCAGAGAATTACCTTCCAAGGGTAAAGAACATCTGAGTTCTAACTGGAAAATGCCTTCACCAAGAGTTTCTCATTGCATATTACAGCAAATGCCTTTCTGAGGGTTGTGATCGATTCACTGAGTGGGAAAGCTGCCTGGAGTTTCATGTTTCCTCCTTCCCCTAAATCAGAGCCACATCCAGCCTTGAGCATTCTGTTTTCCCCAGCTGAAGTCAGAGATTATGAGTGCCAACTCTCTTGCAAATAACACTCCATTACTTCACATTAGCATATTACAGTATCAGACATCAGCCCAAGTGTAATGGGCACAGATCAATAACCAGATCCTAGAAAAGCTGCTCTGCTGCTTCTTCCATCTCCCAAATGAATCACATCTCCACAGCTTTCCTGAACTGTTCACAGCAAACTCCTCTCTCCAAATGTCAGGACAGCAAGGTCTTGACAGATGAAAAATTGAGTGCTTTTACTCCCTTACATTATTAGCCAGCTCTCTGGCAGTAAATGGGAGGCTGAAAGCATGCAAGAGGCTTTGCTGCTTTCATTTCAAGTTTATCCCAGTTTTTTCTACTGTTTTATTCCCTTTACTTAGCTGCCCCAGCATGGGGCAGAGAGCTGCCCTGTCCCAGCCCTGCCCACGAGAAGGAAGCTGCTGGTTTCAGCTTTTGCCAGCACAGCTGTTTGTACGAGCAGTCCAGAAGCCAGCACACAAACAGCAGTGGGATTAATGCAGAGCAGGCACTAACACAGAGCTGTGCCCCACAGCTCAGGCGGGACAGCATATTCACCTCTGCCTGGAGAGGGGCACTCTCCAGCAGGAGCAGGATGAACAGCTCAGGGTAACAGCATTTCCCCCCAAGAGCTGTTTGCTGGGTGAGCAGCAGTCCTTGCTCAGTGCTTCCCTCCCTCTGCATCTCTGTTTCACTGAGAGCCTTCTCTAGTCCTTACCTTGTCATCCTGCCTTGTTCCCTGGAGTGCTCTGCTGCTCTCAGCACAGTGCAGGGGGACAGAACCCTCTGTGGAAGGGCAGGGCTCTGTCACCACAGAATGCTGCACAGCCACATCACAAAGTGGGAAATGATCCTTGAAAACACTGAAATGTTTGTTCCCTGCAAAGTCAGCAGGGGTCCCTGAAGGCTTTCTAAGCTGACTTGCAGTAATGTACAAATTATTTTAATGACACTTAATCTCTCCAAACAACTCATTCTTCCTATTGAAGTCTGAGAAAAAAAAATCTCTTCCAAGAGGACTGATTTACTTTTGAGGAAGCAGCAGGACTCACACCTGAGCCCTTCTCAGCTAGGTGGGACTCATCAGAGGAGAGGGAATCACCAGTGGGGGCTGCCATTAGCCCTGGAGAGAGCTGATCCAACACACCCCATAGGAGGGAGGATCCTGGCTGCTATCCAAGCCTTCTGGACCACAGCTTTCACATCTGGCTCTGCACAGCAGTGGTCTAAGTGAAAAAATGTCTCCCCTTGACAGCCTGAGGAGTGTTTCCCTGTGCCTCAAAGCAGAGCTTGACAGGAAGCTGGACTAAAGCAGGAATCCCTCCTTCTGGTTTCCTGGCAGCCCTCTGTCCATGACAACACCAGGCAGCATTGGGAAATAGGATTATTTCACTTCCCAGCTGCCCACAGGGGTTTGAAAACAGCAGCAGAGGCAGTGGTGAGAGCAGCTGGTGCTACCTGTCCAGATCAAGCGGAGGAGCAAGAACCAGGATCTGTCACACAAGAGAATGGGACACTGACACGTGCCAAACCCTCACCAGGCAGCACAGGGACAGCAATGGCTGCCACTGCTCTGTGCCTTCAGTCTGTATTTAATCTGACTGCCCAAAGAGCTCAGTTTGCAGCAGCCTTAGAGGGGACATCTGTAAAGCAAGTTTCCTCCTGGGTGCAGTCACGGGAAAACAGCTCAGCACAGTAATTAAGTCAGGGGCTGTGAATCAGCTGAAGGCTGGGGAAGTCAATGAGGGGATGATGAACACCTGCCCTGGGTCACCTGGGGAAGGCAGGGCCAGATGCCTCTGAGCCCCTTTAAATCTACAGTTACACCAAACTTCCAATGCACAGCCTTAAAAGATAATGTGCAGCAACAAAAGCAGACAAAGTACTCTTTAAAGTGATCGTGGTATTTGTAAAAGAACTGCAATCCATGGGATGGCACACAGTGTCCTAAAGCTCAGAAACAAACTCAAGACACCTGAAGGTAATTTTCATAGCTCAGCACATTTAGTTACTAATCACTGAGCAACCCTAGGAATTTCAGCTGCCCAGCACTGTTTTCTCCCGAATAAACCACATCTTCAGACTGTGTTTGTGATCATTCATCTGCCACACAGCCCCAGGCCTCGCAAAGCAAAGCTTAAGCGACCTTGCCTGCGTTGTGTAGCAGACACAGATTAGATCATTACAGTCTCCAGCGGCGTTACTCAATCGTGAGGGGCAGGAACCATGTTCCACAGAAACCCACTGCATAACTCTGCCTCGGTGCCAGGAAAGGCTCTCCAGCTACGACAAGGAAAATTTTCAGACTAATTAAAATGGCCGGGACTTACCAAGGAGTTTTTCCTGCAAGGAGTGTACTGAGCAGGCAGCTCTAAATTAGCCATGACAGAACATCGCCCCAAAGAAGCGTTAAGGGCACGGAAATCTCACTCACCCCGGCCAGGACTGGGCCCACAGGTGTCTCTCCTCCCACCGTCCCCTCACGCCCAGCTCGACACCCCTCTCCAGGACGGGCCTATCCGGCTCCGTGAGCCCCGTACCCCCCAGCGCCGGCGGGGTGGGCCCAGCTCAGCCCGTTCCGTGTCCATGCACCGCCTCCCCCGCTCCCGCCGGCCGGCGCGGGCCCCCCGGGACGCGGCACCTGGAACTGCAGCAGCTTCTCGGTCTGTTCCGCCGTCAGCTCCCGTTCCTCAGGCGCCGCCATTTTGCTGCCGCCTCTGACCCGCCGCTCCGTCACTCTCCGGAAGTGACGTCGCCCGCCCCCACTTCCACCCCAGCCCCGCGCGGCGCGGCCAATGGCTGTTTATCGGCCAGGGCCGGAACTGCCGCGCCGCATTCCGGACACAACCGAAGTGCTCTAGGGCCTGTCCGGAGATGCCCGAATCCCATCGGCGGCACCGGCCGCTCTCGGGTGTCCCCGGCGGGCGCACGTAAAGTTCCGAAGTGTGCCGAGCACCGCTCGGGTGTTCCCGGCGGACAAACGAGGAGTTCCGAAGCGTGCCAAGGGCTCCTCGGGTGTTCCCGGAACAGGCCGGGGATGAGGGGGCAGCCTGTTGCTGTGGGAGCGGGCCCTGAGTGGGGGGATATGAGCCGAAGACCCCCGGGAGCTGGCTGTGTTGCCGTCACCGCGGGGGTTGCCGGACACCGAGTGGGTCCTGTCCGGGCTCCTCCGGCCCCGTAGGTTGGGTCCTGCCCGCTACCTCCGGTCCCGCAGGGTGGGTCCTGCCCGGCACCCCTCGTCCCGCTGGGCCGCCCGTGCGCCGGGCCCAAGATGGCGGCGGCCGCTAAGATGGAGGAGGCTGTGAGGGGCCCCGCTCCCACCCGCAGCTACGAGCGCCCGCGTGAGGGGTCGGCGCGGCGGGACCGCGGCCAGTCGAGCCCTGGGGGAGGCAGGCGGGCAGCCCCGGCTCCCCGTGCCCGCTGCGGCTGGCGGGGAGGCGGGACGCGCCCGCGGGCCCGCCCCGGCGCTGATGTCAGCGCGGCCGCCCCGCCCGCCGCCGCAGTGACAGCGACAGCTCCGCCCGGGCGCAGTCGGGCCCAGCCCAGCCGAGCCGCGCAGCCGGACCGGGAGCGGCGCGGGCGGGCCGGTCATGGCCGACGACTTCGGCTTCTTTTCCTCATCCGAGGGCGCTGGCGCCGAGGAGGACCCGGCCGCCGCCTTTCTGGCCCAGCAGGAGAGCGAGATCGCGGGCATCGAGAACGATGAGGGCTTCGGGCCGACCGACGGCGAGGCGGCCGCCGCCCCGGGCGGGCAGGCGGCCCCGCCGGAACAGGGTGAGCACGCCCGCGGGGGCCGCCCGGCCGCGCTCCCGCTGGCTGCGGGCGGGCTCCCGACCTTGTGGGGTAACGGAAGGCTGTCCCCCTTCTGCCCCGAAGGCAGGGAAGGGTCCTCCGGGCCGCATCCACGCGGGGCTGTGGTCCCCGGGGGATCCACAGCATCCCCGGTGGGTGATGGGGTCTGTGCGGCATCTCATGGGCCGCTGACGGGGTGACCCTGTGGGCCACGCTGGCATCCTAGCCAGGGTCATCTGGGCCTTTGCTTGTGCCCAAAGGGCTTCTCGAGCCTCGGGGATGTGGGGTGAACCCTGAGCTGGGATGTGCCAGCCATGGGGCGATTTCTCCCCCTTGTGCTGGGTTTTCCGGGTTGGATGGACTCCCGACTCCATGTTTCAGTGCTCCCAGCTATGGCAGTGTAAAAGGCGTCCAGGCGGCACTGAGGAGCAATGACAGCCTTGTCACTGTCCCCACAGACAGGAGAGCCCTTTGGGATGCAAAATGGAAGACATTGCCATTGGGAACGTTGTGGTCCCAGGCCCTGCAGGTAGAATGTGCTAATTCTGCTCTCTTGTGTCTCCAGTCTGCAGGGGCTTTGGCATCTGCTCTCTGTATGGACATGGGGGCACTGTTGCCACAGGGCTCTGACTCCTTCCCCTAATGCAGCCCCACAGGGTCTCCTCGTGCTGTGTGTGGAGCGGTGGTTGCAGAGCTCTGCACACAGGGCCATGGAGGCAGATCTGGGCCTGGGGAGGTGTTGTCAGCCACAGTGATAAATGCAGTTAGACAGGCTGGAGCTGGGTGTAGTCATGGGGCTGAGCACTTGGGGGACAGTGCTGGCCTGGGTCTGTGCCTGCAGCTGGCTGGCCAGGAGAAGCCCTGTGGTCACTGGGGAAAGCTCAGGGCCTGGAGCGTGAGTCCTTCAGAGCCTTTTCTCTCCTGGCAGCAGAGAGCCCCCCCCCCCCCGGGCTGGCTTTGTGCCCTAGGTGTGCAGCTCTCTGTGACTGTGCAGGTAGATGGCTGCCTCATTACCAACCCTAACCCTGCAGCTCATCCCAGGTGGGCTCCAAGGACCTGGGCCTGCAGGCATGCCCTCCTGTCCTGGTGGAGCACAAGGAGTGTTTCCATGGGCCGTGTCCCTGGAGAGTTGCCTTGGCACTTGGCCGGCAGCTCTGGGATCAGCCGTGTCCATCTGCAGGTTGGGGTTGGTCAGGTTGTGTTTCTACAGTCAGAGCAGCAGCCTGTGTCAGTCTTGTGCTGGAGCAGTTTCCCTAATCTCCAGATAAGATTAAATACCAGTGAAAACACCATAAAGACATAATACTTGCAGAAGTTTGTGTGGGAGAGTGAGAGGTGCTTGCTGAATCCCACCAAGGCCAGGACAGTGGGAGGGTGTTGTGCCATGGGTGTGCTGGGCTGAAAAAGGCACAGACCAACTCCCAAGAGCTGATCTGATGTAGTTTCATGGACACCAGCCCCTCTGGGATCACCTGCAGCTGCCATAATTGTGTTTTTCCTTCTCTCTTCCTTTTTCTCGAGCAGGTTTCCAGAATGGAGGAGCCACTGTCAATGGAGATGTCTTTCAGGTGAGAGCTCAGCCTTTTGCTGGCCCAGGGCTGCTAAGGAACATTGGGTGGGTGTGGGGCCAGCAATCTGTTGTTCTGCCCCCAGCATTGACTGGAGTTTGCTATCCAGCTGCAGAACAGCTACGGTGCTCCTGGGAAGGTCTGGGTCTCCCGTGGGAGTCCTGGCTGCTCCATTCTCTTTGAAGAGAAGATGTGTCCCACCTGCCATGATCTGCCCCACATCTGTTTGCAGGTGGCTTGTGCCATGAAGGAGTGCCTGGGCCCTAAGAGCAGGTGACAAATCGCCCATTCCCCAAGAAGTTCCCTCTCTCCAGCCTGGGTAGCTTCTGGAGGCCTCTGGGGCAGGCAGGAGCATCTCTTGACAGAGACCAGAGACAGGATAGGGCTGCCATGGGACTTGGAATTCCCATGAAAACCACTTGCCCTGTGGCCAGGGGCCTTTTGGGGGAACCCACCTGGATCTCAAATCACTTTGGGAGCCTGAAGCCCAGCTCTGCTGTCAGCAGTGCCAGCCTCTCACAAGCCCTTCACCCCACATTGTACCCAGCAGTGGGGCATATGCCCTGCCCAGGCGTGGTTTACAGGATGATAATCGCATCAGGAATGAGACAGACTTAATTAGATTGAGGATCTTGAAAGAAAGCTGTAATCCCGTTGCTGAGCTTGGTGTCAGACTGGGCATGTGGCCAGTGGAAGGTGTTAGGGGAGGTGCTGGGCCTGGCAGGGCCCTCAGCTCAGACATGAGGGAAGCAGCTCGATCCAGGAGCTGCCTGGGCCCCTGTGAGGGCAGGAATCCCTGGGGAGCAGTTCCAAGGCCGTTGTCTGCCCTGTGCCCTGGGGCTGCCCAGAGGATACAAGAGCTATGGTGGCAGTGAGCAGCAAGTCAAGGAGGGAATTGCTGGGACGGCTTCAGGTGACAGAGCCTGAGGCTGGGAGAGCAGCTTGAGCAGCACTTTGGGAACACTGTCCCACATGTCCCAGGCTGTCACCCTTCCTGCCTCCCATCTTGGCTTGTCAGTGCTGGGAGTGTGGAGTCCTGACTGCTACCAGCCCTTGGAGGTGGCTGGGCCGGGCTCTTGGGAGCACTGGTGCTGATGGTGAGGTGCTCGTGTGCCGCAGGAGTCCAACGGCCCCACGGATGCCTACGCAGCCATAGCCAAGGCCGACCGGCTGACCCAGGAGCCCGAGAGCATCCGCAAGTGGAGGGAGGAGCAGAAGAAGCGCCTGGAGGAGCTGGGTGAGACCCAAGGCCGTGTGTAGCCCCCTGTGCTTGTGGCACCTTGTGACATGGCAGTCAGAGCCCTTTGGGTCCTCACTTCTTGGTGACCCTGCTGCATCCCAGAGAGATGTCTCGTGCCCCTGCCAAAGATCTGCCATCCTTAGGGCTGTGGTGCTTTTTGGCCAGTGTTGGTGGGGACTGGGGATGGGTGTGAGGGGCTGCAGCTGTCCTGCCTGCCAAGGGGCTGCTCAGCACACCCAGCAGGTGCCAGTGTGGCTGATGGGCTCTGTGTCACTCGGGCCTTAGATGCGGCATCGAAGGTGACTGAGCAGGAATGGCGTGAGAAGGCCAAGAAGGACCTGGAGGAGTGGAACCTGCGTCAGAATGAGCAGATGGAGAAGAACCGAGCAAACAACAGGTATGTTGGGGTCAGCATGGCCAAAAGGACTGTCTGCCTTCCTGGGATGTTTGAGGGCCTCTTTGCCCACAGTGGGGTCCAGCCCTGCAGGGACAGAGCCTTGCCAAGCAAGGGGAGAGTTCCCAGGTCTTGGAGTGGCTCTGGTGGCTGTGCAGAGCCACTCTGGCTGGAACCACACTGGGATCACTCTGGGATCTCGATGCCTCCTGCCCCTGTAGGGGGCTCGCAGGGGGGCAGGGTTGGGCTCCAGGTTCTCCTGGTGTGCTGAAGTGTGTGGGTGACACTTTGGGAGGACTAACCCCCTCTGTTCTCTCTTTCTAACCCTCTGCCTGCCTGTCGCTCCGCTCCACTCTCTCTCTCTCTGTGCCCGGGGCTAGGATCGCTGACAAAGCCTTTTACCAGCAGCCGGACGCCGATGTCATTGGCTACGTGTATGTGCCTCTTACAGACCCTATCCTGCTCCAAAGGTTCTGGGGGTCCCAGCCCCAGCACTGCCTGCCCAGCCAAGGGAAGGGGGGATGCTGGGAGGTGGCATCACCACTGGCCTGGTGAGGTACCAGAGGGAGGATGATGCAGCTGAGCGTCTCCAAATGGTGGAGTTTTAGGAGATGAGTGGAGCTCCTAGAAATATCTCTGTGGGAGCTGGTTGAAGATGCATAGCCATGGGCTCTTATGCCTCTTTTTGGGGATGGCTTTGTGGGGGTGAAGTCTTGGGAGCAGGCAGATACTCCTGCACCCCTGGATGGACGATGTTTTGGGTGAGTGCAGCCAAAGGCAGACTTGAGCATTGTGTGTATCTCGGTCCCAGAGGACACTGAGCTCATCAGCTGGAGTAAAGGGACAGGAAGCAGGGACACAAGGGTTTTTAAGACAGAAGGAAGAGTCTCCTTGGAAAGGGCTCTGCCAGTGACAACCCTCAATATCTTTGCAGGGCCTCGGAGGAAGCATTCCTGAAGGAGTCCAAGGAGGAGACCCCAGGCTCTGAGTGGGAGAAGGTGGCCCAGCTGTGTGACTTCAACCCCAAGAGCAGCAAGCAGAGCAAGGATGTCTCGCGGATGCGCTCGGTGCTCATCTCCCTCAAACAGACGCCCCTGTCCCGTTAGCTGTGCCTGGCACAGCCGGGAGCACAGCGGGCATGGCTGGGCTCACTGAGCCAGGTGGCTTCAGGGGCCGGCCCAGGAAGGGCCTCCCACCCCCTGCTCCGTGATCTGCGCCTCGGCTGTGCTCGAGTCACTGGTTGTATAACTCTCCCCATGGTTTTCCTTTGCTTAAAAGGTGCATTGGTCTCTTTTTACACTTATTTATAAATCACTGTGGCATTTCCCCGGGAAGCGGCACTGGGTGGCAGAGCTGAGTTAGTGGGGAAGCCCCAGCCCAGGCTCTTCAGGAGTTTATGTCCGAGGGCCTGGCTAAATGAGCAGAAAATATCCCATCTTGTGTTCCCCACTTCAGCCCTGTGCTGGGAATAAACCTGCCTGCAGCTGTCCTGGAAGCCCCATGTATAGGTTTCAGTCCCGATCCCAATGGGATCCCAGGCTGCTGTCTGCCTTTCCCATGGGATTTAGAGCAGAGCTGGAGCAGGGTTGGGAGGGTGGAGAAACAGCCCTGGCTTGTCTCCACACTGCTGGGTCCTGCAGGGAGCATGGCTGCAGCATGGCATTGCCAGACTGGCAGGGACTGAGGAATGTGAGTACAGGTGTCCAGGTTGGGCCTGGACTACCAGTGGCTGCCCCAAGCCCAGCAGAACTCTGCCCAGCCTGGCTGTGCCCTGAAACGTTGGTGCAGTTCCAGTGTCCATGTCCCCTCCATCCTGCAGTGCTGGCAGCACAGTGGTGTGGGCCACTGGGAAGGGACTGTGGGGGGAGTGTGCAGGATGTTTCCTCTCCTTCCCCTATGAACACCAGCAGCTGGGAATGTGGGATTCCAGGCTTTGGGGGACCCTTGGCTTTGCTCTGCTCCTTCCCTTGCTACCAGAATGGGAGATGGAGGCTGTGTAGTTGCAGGGAAGGAGGTAGGAAGGTCCAGCTGCTGTGGGGCAGGTCAAACCCCCATCTTCCTAACCCAGGGACCCAGAGCAGGGTTGGGCAGAGTTCTGGTGCTGGGGCTTGTACTGGCCCTGGGAATAACCTGCACATCTGTCTGCAGTTGCTCTGCCCCCTGGCTTTGCCCACCTAAGGCAGTGTGGGGAGATGCCTCAGTCCTGCTCCCTGCTCAAACTTTTTCTCCTCTGCTTGGCAGGGATGGCACCAGTCCTGGGAACCTGCACAACTCCTGGGCAGCAGGAGAGGGACAGCCTTGAGCTGGTGCTCTGGGTCTGGCCTGTTGAAGGCTTGGGAAGGGCTTGCAGCAGGTTGGGAGGACGTAGAGCAGAGCCCACAAAACATTCACTTGAGCCCCTCTGCAGAGCCCTGCTCAGCTGGAAATCAAGTGTGCAGAGCTCTCCTGCCCTGCAGCTGTGGCTCCAGGGCCAGAATGTCACCACTCCTGCTGCTGCAGCTGTAGGGGTGCCTGGGCACCCAGGGCTCTAGGGCATGATCTCACCAGTGGGCTGGGAAGGTAAAAGGGTGTGTAGGGAATCACTTGCTGTTGTGTGTTGGGACTGTGCCCCCTGCCCATAGGGCTGATCATTCCTGCTCGGCCCCCTGAGCTCCAGCATGCGTAGGCAGCTCTGCTGTGCTGCACGACACCTGGGGACTCGGCTCCTGCCTCAGCCTTGCATTGCAGAGCATCAGGAAGCACCCCTGGCTACTTGTGGGGGACACTGCCCCCTGTGCTCTGTCCCTCCAGCCCTGCAGGCAGCTGGGCCCCTGGGTGCCCCAGCTGCCATGAGCTCCGTGTCAGGCCGGGGCAGCTCTCGGGGAGCCGTGCCCACAGCTGTTCTACATCCCCTCGGCTTTGGTATCTGTGACTGTCCAAATTACCTGTTACAATAAACCAACATCTCCAATCCTACAGGGCACTGTTGTATTTCTGCATTAGGGATGCACGCTGTGTTTAGGAGAACCTACAGCCATGTGGAAAGGATGGGGCTGGAAGAGGAACATCCTACAGGTAAAAAAAAGGAGTGAGAGGAGGGTTTGTGCTTGGATGGGGCCAAGGGTTTGTGCTTGGATGGGGCCAAAGCAGTGGCAGCAGGACCCAGGCTTGGCTCTATCCCCAAGGAACTGCAAGCTCTGCCTTGTCCCATCTGGCTGAGCTGCTCCCTGTCCACTGCACCTTTCTCCAGCTGCCAAGGGATTGTGCTCATGGATCTGCCCACCTGCTGCTCCTCACACCCCGCCCCAAGCTGGCTGGGCTGGAGGTGCCAGTGGGGCAGGAGGCAGAAGCAGTTTCTTCTGTGAAGGATGTCCTGTGCAGGCAGCTGTAGAGAGAAGAGAGGCCCTGGGCTCCCTGTGCAAGGTGGAGCTCACCCTGCTCAGCACTGGTGATGGCTTGTTGCCCACCCTCACAACTCAGAGATCAGCTCTGGTGAGCAAGAGCCTTCCCTCTCCTTGCCAAGGCCCAGCAGCACAATTCCCTGGACAGGACAATCCATGTCCTTGTTTGCAGATGGAGGGTTCACCCCTGAGCCCATCCTTACAGGGACTCAGGGCACAGGCACCACCTCACAGAACAGCACCTGGAAGCAGCCCAGGCTGCTGGGGGAGGTGTTTCAGCACAGGCAGAGGTGTCTGTGCCCCTTCCCCTGCAGGTGTGAGCTGCTGCAGCCACAGTGCAATGAACAGAGACCCTGGCCCCACGTCCTCCCAGCTCTGGGCCTGGCATGGGAGAGCAAAGCCTCGTGGATCACCAAAGCCCTGGTATGATCCAAAGCCAACAGTGGGACCGTGTTTGTCAGGACACAGGCAGGGCAGGCCCTGGAGAAGGAGGTGTTGCTGAATCCTCAGCAAGAACAGCCAAAGCAGCAGCACATCCCAGAGAACACAGCCAGACCTCATTTCAGAAATGTGAGTTCCCCACTTGTTTACACGGGGAGTTTCATGTCTTGTTTCTTGCATCACCACAGCTTCAGGACAGCCATGCCCACTCCTTTTTCTCCCTGCACTGTTTACTGTTATGGCTTCTCAGTGCTCTGCAATCCAGTATCAGTCAGAATCTTGCTGTAATTCACTTTATTACTCACCAGTTTTAATTACACAGCTCACACAACCTCCCAAACTGCCTCCCCCAGTGCCTAGAGACTTTGTCCTGCCAGGACAAAGCCATAAGCAGTAATTCCTTCCTCATGAGCTCTCATTTCTCAAATGCTGGTCACTGCCTGACTACAACCACGCCTCAGACCATGACCGAGAAGACACAATTTTATCAGCCTGTGACAGCATCAAGGAGGAACAAGAAGTCTGACAGGGTGACATACAGCCTCAGTGCTGCAGGAGAGCTCTTGGGGAAACAAAAAAAAGCGCCACAGCCTAAATTACATGTTAATCACAGAGTGTATTCACCCCATTTCCAGTGCTCCAGAACTGGCTGTACCGAGACATCACAACAGCCTCAGAAAACTCCATCCCCAGCCAGGGCTGCTGGTAGACACTTGCCCGTGGCCGCCGCTTCGCTCTTGTCGATGTCACTGTCGGGATTTGAAGGCCGTGGCCGCCATGCCCCCCAGCAGCGCGGCGAAGGTGCAGCCCTGGGCTATGACACGCGCCCGCATCATCAGCTGGGAGCGCCGAGTGTTGCCTTTCTTGAAGCAGATGATTCCGTAGACCAGGACACTGACGGTGCACAGGCAGCCTGCGGGGAAGGACGGGGGCCGTGAGGCGCGGCTTCCCCCGCACTCCCAAAACCGAGCCGCGCCTCCCGGGGACAGCCGGCCGGGGCTGAGGGACCGGCCCTCACCAGCGGCCACCGCGCCGGCCCGCGCCCCTCACTCCGCCTCCGTCCCGCCACCCCCCGCCCCACCCTCACCGAGGGGCACCAGGGGGTTCTCGCGGGTCTTGCGCAGGAACTTGTCCGTGAATCCCTCCTCAGGGAAGGTGGGCAGCGGGCTGGGCTCCAGCGGCGGGGGCGGCCCGGCCGCCATGGCCAAGGTGACAGCAAGGCCCTTTCCGGCTGCCGTAGCCCCGCCTCCGAAGCAGTGCATGCCGGGAGTTGCAGTCCGACGTGCGCATTTACCGCGCGGCGCTGCCTTCTCGGAACTACACTTCCCGTGGTGCCCCGGGCCGGTGCGGCAGCCCTGTGGCCATCCCGCGCGTGTCCGCCATGCCGAAGGCCAAGGGGAAGAGCCGGCGGCACAAATACTCCTACAACCTCAACCGCAAGCGGCTCTACCGCAGCGCCCGCCGCCGCGCCGCGCCCCGCATCGCCTGGTGAGCGCCGCGGGCACGGGGGGCCGGCCTGGGCTGGGGCAGGGCGGCCGGGAGCCGCTGCACGTGTCGGTGGGGAGGGGGACGCGCAGGGCCGCGGGGTGAGGGACACGGCCGTGATGTCGCTTGTCCTCTCGCAGCTCGCACATCCGCCATGCCTGGGACCCGCACAAGTCGGTGGCGCAGAACCTGGCCGAGATGGGCCTGGCCGAGGATCCCAACAAGGCTGTCCCCATCCCGAAGAAGCAGCTGGTAAGAAGCAGGAGGGTTTGGCCCGGGCCGCTCCTTTGTGGGGGGAGGTATCCTGGGCAGGTTAAGTCTGGATGAGTCTCTGGCACTGGACAAGTTTCTTATCTTGATCTACGCGCTTATCTCACCAAGATCCTGGCGTGGGAACGAGCTACAGCGCTCCGGAGACATAATGGACTTTAGAACAAATATAAAAACGTCAGTCCTGGGACTTGCCAGAGACGGGGGGGTTGGGAACGCTCCAGCCAAGTTGTTCCTGATTACAAAGAAGGGCTCTTTGTGTACAGCAGTGCCAGCCAGGCCCATCTGCATAAGAGGGCAGCGCTTTCAGGTGAAAGGTGGCCCCAAGAAGCTCAAGGAAGAAGTAGCAATGACCTTGTTAGCCATTTGTCTCCATTCACACAGGGTTTCTCAGTTGACAGCCTCACCCACAAGCCAGTTTAATGGCACAAGTAAAGCTCTGCTTAAGCCATCTGGGATTTCCTGCCTCTTGCAGCCATGTAGAAGCAGTTCGGAGTTTTGGGAACAATGTGTGGGGACACAGCACTCTTCCAATTGTGCTTTTCTTAATTTTTCTTTTCTCTGCTGTAATTCAGGGAATGGAAGTGGAAAGTGATGGACAGCAGCCAGGAAAGAAAATAGTGCGGAAGCCGTACGTGGTGAATGGTCAGTGCTGCATTTGGGGCTCTCCTGAGCCCCTCTGGGCTATTTTGTCACTCTGTGCTGTGCCAGGGCTAGGGAAGGGTGTTGTTTCTTATCCAGCCTCGTGGAGGATCATGTCTTTTCCACAGTGTTTGTCCCTGCAGCCTCAAGAGGGCTCTTGTCACTGCGAGATGCGCTGGTGCGTGGCTCCAGGGTGACAAGAAGCCCTGGAGGCAGTGCCTGGTGTTGCACTGGTGGGCTGGGCAGCTCTGAGCAGCCTGGGCTGAAAGGGTCTGCTCCTGTGTGAGCTGGAGAAGAGCTGCAGTGCAGCTGGGCCATTCTCTTGCACCAACCTGCTGGGAAAGGTCCCTGCATGCACCAGCAGCCAGGCTGTGTGGCTGGGGTGAACCTTGAGGGGAGGTTGGAGACCTCTAAGGTGTTGTTGCTTCCTTCCCCTCCCTCATGCTGCCTCTGCCCTCTGCCCAGAGATGGAACTGGAGGCCAGCCTCCCTGAGAAGAAGTCGAACACGCTGTCACGGGACCTCATTGACTATGTGAAATACATGATCCAGAACCACGGGGAGAACTACAAGGTACAGTCCAGAGCAAGGGATTCACTCCTGGATTTACCAAACAGCAGCATGAGAACTGCTAATCCTCTCTGTCCTGGATCCTGTTTTGCAGTCAGCTGATTCTTAAGGGAAAAAACCACTTTGAACTGTGGCCAGCTCCATCTGAGTCAGGCAGTGATCACACTGGTGGGGGTGGGCTGGCTTGGTGTTTGCTCTTGGGGCTGCTCCTCTCACTTACCTTGTGCTTTGTCGCAGGAAATGGCTCGGGATGAGAAGAACTACTACCAGGATACTCCCAAACAGATAAAGAAGAAGATCAATGTGTACAAGAATTTCTATCCCGAGGAGTACAAGAATTTCATTGCATCGCTCAAGCCAGAAAAAATGGAAGTGCAGTGACTGCTCTTTTTCCTCAGGTTTACCTGCAAGTGCAGGCTTGACGTGAATATTTTCCAAACTGAAACAGCCTCTGGTGATGGAGGAAGAACCCTCACTAGGCAGAGAGGGTTTAACTATCCATGATAGACTCTTTTGGCACCGGCACTGACTGTGCTGTTCTGCTCACACTCTGTGTGGCAGCAGAAAGAACTGCCCCCAGCAGTTCTTTAGCTTTGCTAAAATAAAATACTCTTTCTAGCTGCTTGTGAATGTCTTGTTTGTGGGCTATGGCTTGGTGCAGTCCTGCTTTGGAGAGCTCCTGGTGATGGTGGCCTTGGACACGTGTCCCCCCTGTGGTGACAGGGCTGGGTGTGGGCAGCACTCAGACTTTGGCTGATTGTCCTGTAGGCAGGGTAAGTTGGAGCAGGGCCATGTGCTGTGGCCTTTCCCTGTGTCTGCAGCTTGGGAGAGCAGGCTGGGGTCCCTTTCCTGCCGAGGAACTGGAGGGCAGCAGAGAGGTCAACCTTTCATTGATAGAGGAAGGAGCAGCTGTAGAAAAGGTGTCAGAGTGAGACTCTCTGCCACGTACTCTTGTTCCTGATGGGCTTGCCAGCTTCCAGGATTGTTTTTCCAGGACCTAGCGCTCTGTGGACTGACCCAGCAACCTCCTGTCTGCAGGAGGAAGGGACACGTGGGCGAGACACGACCCCAGCCCCACCACCGGGCCGTGGGTGCGCTGTGGCCCGGGTAAACCGGCAAACCCCGCCTTCCCCGCCCGAACTACAGCTCCCAGCGTGCCCCGCGCCAAGCCACATCTCGCGAGACCTCACCTCTATAAAACCGCCCCCCGCAGGGATAAGCAGCCTCCGGCTCCGGCGACTCGCGGCGGTTCGGCTATGGCCGCCCCGGGCCTGTTCCTGCCGCCGCTCGCCGAGCCCCGCTGAGCCCCCGCCATGAGCTCTGGGAAGCCCGACGCTCCCGGTAAGGTTCCGCACCCGCTCCCCGCCGGGCTCGGTGGGGCGCGGCGGCGGGCGCTGAGCGCTGCGCTCTCTCCGCAGCGCTGGAGCCGGGCGGCGGGCCCCGCTCGGGCAGGATGTCGTTGCCCCTCGGCGTTCCACGCCGCGCCTTCAGCTACGATGATGCCCTGGAGGACACGGCGCCCATGACGCCGCCGCCCGCCGATCTGTGCGCCAGCGTGCTCTGGAAGCAGCCGGTCATCCCCGAGCGCAAGTACCAGGAGCTCTCGAAGGTACGGGCCCGGCCGGCCCCGGCTGTCCTTGGGTGCCCCGCAGCTCTGGCGCCGTGCCCTGGCATCCCCCTGTCCTTGCACCCTCCTGCCCTCGCTGCAGGACCCTCGGGAGGGGCTGGGGACAGAGCCCGGCACTGCTGCCTGGCCTTGCAGTGGGCACATGGAGGTGTGGATGGGACAAACGTGTGCTGAGCGTCTCCTCCGTGTTTGTGGTTAAAAAAACCCCAGCAACCAGGTATAATTAAAGTAGAGCATAAGGCTGGTTTAGGCTGGATGTAAATCCTTTTCAATGGGTATGCTGAGGTACTGGCACAGTTTGTACATGGGATCTGTGGCTGCTCCATCCCTAGAAGTGTTCAAGGCCAGGTTGGTGGGAGCTCTGAACAAGCTGCTCTAGTGGAAGGTGTCCCCCCACCGTGGCAGGGGGTTGGAACTGGATGATATTTAAGATCCCTTCCAAACCATGCTGGGATTCTATGCTTTGAGTGCAGGGCCAGCCCTTTTAAATTTAGAGGCGGTTTTCTAAGTTTGAAATTAAACTAAATATTGTTGGATGGGAGAATGTAATTCTGTATCCCTTTGAGCTTTAACCTCTACTTTAAACCTCCTTGGTTTTTAAATCTCTTGTGGGAGACAACCAGAAGTTGTGGTTTGGTGCAAAAAATAAACTTTCCAGTAGGGAGCTCCTGTGTTGGTTGGAGGAAGTCAGTGTTTCACAGGATGCTTTGTTTTCTAGCATTTCTTTTCTGTTTCTTTGCTGGGGTCTAGTGGTTGATCTATGACCACCAGACACACTGAGCAAGAAACATGTAAGGAATGAGGTGGGAAAACAAGTTGTTCACTCCAGGCTCTGCTCTGTGCCTGCCATTCTGTGAACAGCTGGTGCTTGAGCTGCCTGGGAAGGTGCTCTTGCTGCTTTTGTCCAGTTGACCTTGAAGTCCAGTTTGCATTTAGGAGAAGAACAGATGTTCTGGTTTCTTGCCTGTTGACCTTGTTGTACTTGGGCTAGCACCTTGTTTGCTCTGAACCTGGTAGGGGCTCAGATGTTGGATGGAAGTCACTTGTTCATTGCCATGAATTCTGAGGTTCTGACCATTCCTGCTGCAGTGTGCACAGCCCAGGGATTGCTCCCATGGGATGGAGGCTGGCTGCCAGAGCAGCACCTTGTCTCAGTTGTGTTGTTAGAGATGTGTCCTTGCCAGGCGCTGAGATCCCCATCTCAAACTGTCCCTGCTGCTTCCCCACAGGACGAGGAAGGGGAGGCCAACATGAAGCCTGTCATAACTCCTTCATCATCCACTGAAAGTGTGAACAAGGTGCCTGTGGTGAAGGCCAAGGCCACTCACATCATCATGAACTCCCTCATCACAAGTAAGAGCTCACCTCTACTCTGTCCTGTGTGGTTTGGGCACTGAGGGGGCTCCAGCTGGGTGATGCCTCAGGGCGATTCCTGGAGAGCTCTTGGCTTCAGACTGGCTATGCTCTGGTGCTGTGTGAGTTTGTTTTTTTCAGAGGATGTTTCTGGAAGGAAGCAAGGAACTGGGGAAGAGGCCACATGTGGTGCTTGTGTGTTTGCAGGGGAGGGTAGGAGGAGTGCAGAGTTTGTTGTTTGCTGACAGTTTATGTTGCTGGGGTGCAGAGGCTGCTGCTGCTCTGTTTGATTATTAA